GAGGTCCCTGGCAAGCCCATAACCTAATGGATGGCACAGAACCTCTACATCTCCACTGCTGTGGTCTGTCTGGCATGAGTGGGTCACTAAGCTAGTGTGGGTTTGTTGGTATGCACCACACGTGTGCATGCAGACCCTGGAGAGCAGAGAATTGGGAGAAATGTGGAAAGGGAAGATCTGAGCCCTTGTTCTAGTAGATTTACCAAAGTTCCAAGTCTGTTTATTTGGCTGTGGGAAGAAACAGTCAATCTTGAATCTGTATGTGCCTACAAGTAGATAGGAGCATGTGGTCTTTTGTGTCTGCCCTTGCAGAAGCCCTGCCAGGTCTTGAACTGCCTGCTGCAGGCAGGGTGTGGAGAGTGTTGTAGGAATTGTTAAGGGCGAAGGGTGTAGAGTCCACAACACCACTGTCAAACTGAAAAACAGCACTGCAGAGAAATCTGTCACTTGACCCAGTCAGTGTATGTAGGTCCTCACGAGCAGAGCGAGCTTCGAATGCTCAGCCTTATTACAAATAGGGGTTTTACTGTGTGCCTGAGAATGTCTTGAGACAGACAGCAGAGAGGCAGGTTATGGCAGGTTATAGCAGGTCAGCAGCATGAATGAGATCACAGAAGAGGAAGAGAAATACTGAGGAGGAAGGCTAATGAGGTATATGATATGTTGCCAGAATTTTACAGGAAAAAAGACCTCAGAAACATTTACCCTGTTATTCTGTTGACATGGGGATTAAAAATCCCAGCTCTTGTTTCCATGAACAGTTCAAAATGTTGCTCTACAAAATAAAACCACACCACCTCCCTCTCCCTAGAACATTAACTGCAAATTATCACCGCTCACTTTCCTGCTCTGGGCAGAGCTGTTTGAAAAGGAGAGAAATAATTAGCACTTCATGCAGAGACAGAAGTATCTGCAGTAAAATAAGGGTATTATTGACAGCTGGAGAACTGATGAAGTATCCTAACTGTGTATCATTAGCATCTTTCCATACTTCATTAGATAACTAAAAGGCAGGATAAATAAGATCGCTTTTGGTATGAAGAATATGGCTTATTAAGATCCATCCTGTAGCTCTGCAGTGTCTTTTTGTCCAGCAGTGCCCTTTAGTAAGTCACACATTTCCAGGAATCTTGGATTGTTCTGTTACAATATGCAGCATTGCATGTCTACTCTTAGTATGCGACAGAGTCATTTCGACTCACATTCTTTTCTCCTGTCTACACCTTCTTGGAGTTCTGCTAATACTTACTGTTATGTTAAGTGGCAGGAGAGTTTGGAAAGCAGTTGATAACTCTGAGTTGGGGCAGTTGTGGGACGCAAGTCCTGGGCCTTTTGCTCCCTGACCAGCTGAGCAGGAAGCTAGGCATTAATACTTTGGTTCTTACTGTTAATTTTGGAATGCTCATCATGACAAGCAGTTTGTAACATCATTCTGAAATCGGTGAGTGTCGCTACTGGATGATTAGGTTTTTTTAATCCAGCAGAATCACTGCTAGAAAAAGAAGTGATCACAGGCGTTAGTCTGCTTCAAACTTGTGACTAATGTATTGCTTTGTCTTAGGATTCTGACAACCCAGACCTTCGGGATCGTGGCTACATCTACTGGCGCCTTCTTTCCACGGATCCAGTGACTGCCAAAGAAGTAGTCCTCTCGGAAAAGCCACTTATTTCTGAAGAGACTGATCTGATTGAACCGACTCTGCTAGATGAGTTGATCTGCCATATTGGGTCTCTGGCTTCTGTGTACCACAAGCCACCCAACGCTTTTGTGGAGGGAAGCCATGGGATCCACCGCAAACACTTGCCGATTCACCATGGAAGGTAAGCTGAGGCAACCACAGTGATAATCGGCAGGATTGGTTGTTTCTTTCTAGCAAACAGTCCAAAAGATGCAAAGATCTTTTATAACACCCTAGTGTTTTTTTGTTGATTGTGTAGGGGCTTAAAGGTCATTCACGGGGCCATTTCATTGTAGAATTTCATCTTGTAAGTAGTTTCTGAGTTCCTGGGTCAGAAGACAGGAAGCATCGAAGTTCTTGTCTGAGGAGAAGCTATGATGTTTTTTGAGAAGACACTGGCTATAAGCCCTCTTGACGTGAGAGTTTGAATTAAAAAGCATAAACTTTGGATAACCGGTGCGAGGGCATACTTCCAGGAGGATGATGGCTGTGGTAAAAACAGGCATCTTTCAGAAGGATACACTTCTTTGGTTTTGTAAGAGCTTTTGCTTCAGCAACAGCACAGCTTTACAAGCCTCATTTGTGTAGAATAATACCAGTTTCCTGGAACAGGCAAGTACAGGGATCCTTTGCTGTTGGAATATGAAATGGGGAAGGACTGGTAAAACCACCTTTCTCACTTGATGCCTATAAAGCAAGGGGAGTGTAAAAACCATCTAAGCCACATCACTGAAAACTGCTTGGGCTTAAAAGATGATGGCTACTGATACAGTTCTGTCTAACCTTTGGGAGGTGGGGGGAAAGTGCATTGGCTTATTGTCTGGAGGTTTAATGCTTCCCAGTGATCACAGTACTGGAAGTGGGTTAGATCTACAAGAGCAGGCAGTACGGTAGTCCTGGGCTGCGGTGGTGTTGCTGTTGAGCCTGTTCCTGTGGTTCTTCATTCAGGTAAGCAGTGCTGTTTTCACTAATGGTATTAATTACAAATGTAAGCATGCTTTACAGCAGGAGGCAGAGTATCCAGGCTTACCTCTTAATAATATTCCCAAAGTGACATTTGGAGTGCTATTTTTTGCTGTTGCACTGATAAATCAGTGTGTGATGCTGCTCCTTTTCTATTTTCTGACACTGCTTCTCTGCTATTCTTAGCAACTAAAGCTATTTCTGTAATGACTAGCTTTGGAAAACGGAATTGTTTTCTCTCTGCCTATGAAATAAAGTCTGGCTGCATTGACCCAGGACCAGCAAGCACAAGTCTACCAGTCGGACAAGAAAAGCAGTGGTCTCTCCTAGTCAAAGATTTACCTCAATAGCAAAATGAGCTGGGATGGGGGTAGCTTTGGTCTTCGGTGTTTACCAGCCTCCCTGTATGCTGTTGTTTCAGGTCATTACAGAAGCTAACATTTTAGGGGGTTTCAGTCAGCTCAAGGAACTCAGCTTTTTTAAGGAGTGGACTTTTTACTGCCTTCTTGTGTATACTGTCTGTCTGGCTTGACTCTCGTAGCTCATGCTCAGACAATCTGCTGACCTCAAATCTTTTCTGACTGTACCAGTATTGTACATTGCCCTGGTGGTGTTTACTACTATATTACCCATTACTTCAACAAAAAAACTTCAGGCCTCAACCAGCAGTGGGGAACCAGAGCTGGGGAAAGGTCTGAACGGTGCTCAGCAGAGCACGCTGAATACTGATGTAGTGCTCTTCCTCATTCAGTAAATTAAAAAGTGTTGTGTGAGCTCACCTGATAAAGAGGCTGTGTTATTGTGGTTTTGCTTTACTGTTAGCTAAAGGACAGTAAAACCTTACAAGTGGATGCCAAGGCCTCCTTGTACCATGTCAGAACATATCAAGGACAAGGTCCTGCACATGGGTTGGGGCAGTCCCATGCACAGGTACAGACTGGGTGGGGAATGGATTGAGAGCAGCCCTGAGGAGGACGGCTTGGAGGTGCTGGTTGACGAGACGCTCAACATGACCCAGCAATGAGTACTCACAGCCCAGAAAGCCAACTGTGTCCTGGGCTGCATCCAAAGCAGCGTGATCAGCAGGTCGAGGGAGGGGATTCTGCCCCTCCGCTCCGCTCTGGTGAGACCCCCCTGCAGCACTGCCTTCAGCTCTGGGGTCCTCAGCACAAGAAGGACGTGGAACTGTTGGAGTGAGTCCAGAGGAGGCCACGAAGATGATCCGAGGGCTGGAGCACCTCTGCTGTGAGGACAGGCTGGGAGAGTTGGGGTTGTTCAGCCTGGAGAAGAGAAGGCTCTGGGGAGACCTTAGAGCAGCCTTCTAGTGCCTAAAGGGGCCGACAAGAAAGCCGGAGAGGGACTTTTTACAAGGGCATGGAGTGATAGGACAAGGGGCAAGGGCTTTAAACTGGAAGAGAGAAAATTCAGATTAGGTATTGGGAAGAAATTCTTCCTGGTGAGGGTGGTGAAGCAGTGGCAGAGGTTGCCCAGATAAGCTGTGGGTGGCCCCTCCCTGGGAGTGTTCAAAGCCAGGTTGGATGGGGCTTTGAGCAACCTGATCTGGTAGAAGGTGTCCCTGCCCAGGGCAGGGGGGTTGGGACTGGGTGGTCTTTAAGGTCCCTTCCAACCAAACCATTATGTGATGATTCTATGATACCAAATTGCCACTTTGGGCCGTGAGAATTACAGTGAGCAGCTCTGCAGGAGCATGGTTGTGGGGAGTCTGAATTTGTGCATCCAGTATGATTTTACTGATTACTAAGAAATTGGTTTGCCTCTTTCTAGTATTGAATGTGCATGAAAAGATGCACGAAAATCTGTCAGTTTAAGGCAGGTTAAGGGTGTCCAGTCAAAGATAACCTCCTCACCTAGCTATTTGGAGTTAATCTTCATTACTTCTGCACTCTGGTCATGGCCATTCTGGTGGCTGACCTGTCTGCTAGAGACTGAGGTTTTCTTTCAGATTGCACAGTTGAGATAGTGGGGAAAGCATGGAAGTGTGGAGACATCCACAATGAATGTGGCTTGACAGAGTCAAGATAACATTGCCTTGAGTAGCTAGATGAGTGGTGCTTTCCTGGGTATAAACCGAGGAGGGACTGGCAGAATACACTGCATTGCATTTTGATTCATTTCACTTTCATTCACAGCAGTGTAGGACAGGTTCCTTTCAGCTCTCAGCTAATGGGAAGACCCATTGAACAGCTCACAGATGGTGAGATGTTCCTGCCTCTTCTTTGAGCCCAAGTGTCAGAGTGGCAGATAAATCCTAAAGGTGGGGGAGAAATCTGATTGCTTGGCAGCGTTTCCTCATGTGGTGGCTCCCACCACCCCTCCTCAGCTATAACGCAGCTGGGAAATTTGGGGAGGTATTTACAGGGCTTCTGGGAGAGCAGTCTGGTTAGACTTGGGCAGGAGTCCACATTCCCACACAGGTGGCTGCAGGAAATTTTTGATTCTGGCTCAGGCTGTGCATCCCTTGTGACATCCAACATCTGGGAACCACTGGAAGTTGAACTCCTAGGAGGACCGAATCTCCAGCTCATGTGGGCAAACCCAGCTGCTAGCATCTGCCCAAGACTGTAAGGGAGAAAGCTTATATCAAGTCTTTTTGCCCTTTATAACCCACTATTCTTTATTCATTTTTTCTTTCAGAGAAAGTGCAAAGTTGTTTATACAAATCTCTTTAAAGAGGCCCATTCTTTACAGGAAATGGGAGGCTTGGTGTTTTATTTTTTAATATGAGCTGACTTAGCTTTGTCTCTTCCTAATTTCCTCTTGGGCTTTGGGGCAGCTGCAGTTACACAAGACCTTGAAGGATTGCTTTATCTCCATCAGAGGAAGGATGAGTAAGTGTTGAAGAGGTGTAGTGTTACAGGGATTATATACTGGGAACGAACGAAGTGTGTGCACTACGGGCTTGTAGTCTGTCTCTCCTCATACATGCTGTTCTTCCCTGTTCTCAGGTTGGGGGTGGGAGTGGATCATGGTAACCACTTGCTCTTCAAAAATGTTTTAGTTAGCTGTTCAGCATACTCAGAAGTCTCCCTGCTGAAGGCAGAAGCAGAAAGGACAACGAATATTAATACTACTAGGGGTCTAAAGCTTTCAATGCAAAGAAGCTTTCAACCCTTTCTGTCGCTGCCTGGTAACTAATTCATTCTGCAGTCCTTACGCTACATCTTTTCCTCTTGGCACTGAGTTTGGGAGCAGCTTATACTGTGTGGCTAAAGCTTTCCCCTCAGTAACTGAGTAAGGATAAGAAAGAGAATTGTGGGTACTCAAAATCAGGAGCTGCAATCCTTACAAAAGCCCCAGTGTTAAATACCTTGTCAGGATGCTAATTCCCATGGCATTTGTGTGCAGTTACCTGTTGGCTGCATCTGCAGTAATATGAGCTGGAAATAGTTTTGTCAGTTACTGCTGACAACAGGATACAAAATAGATTTTAAGTTATCTAAAATATTAGCATCTCTGGATTTAAAGAATAAATACATTGTAATGAGAACTCCAGGAGCTATGGTCAGGGTTTTCTTTTGTTTTGTTTTTTGTTTTTTTTCCCCTCTCTCCTTGTTGTAAAATTCAGTGGCAAGTGAATATAAAAGGTAACCAGACTGCATATGATGAGAAATTTTGGAAACTGTATAGTGAACACTTCTAGACTAGTAATTAGCATGCCTGCTAACTCAGAGAAAAGGAAAGTTTTGATAGAAGGGAGGAATCAATTTTAGATCGAGGTCTTTAATTATGAAAGAGTTGTGGAGCTTGGTGCTGGTCAGTAGAAGGTGGTTAATCCAGATCTGTGGGGAATGGTTGAGTTTGCACTGGTTAGAGTGAGGGCTCAAGGATTTTATCAGTGTTAGGTCTCTGAGGAAGTCTGGATTATGGTTTGGTTTTTTTACCCCCAGTGTTTACATGTAGTTCTCCAGGCCCAGTGGGCTGACAATCATCTCTCTAGGTTTCTTCTGAGCTGCAAAATAATTTTCAGTGCTGTAATCCATGTAGTACTCACGGCTCACTGTTTTGGAGGGGTATGTGTTTCTCAAGGTGGCCAGATTTCATGCCTTGAAGATTCCATTTTCTGAACTGAAAACCATGCACCATGCATGGAAAGTCTTTGAGCTCAAAGCATGTGTTGAAGAACCACCTGCCATAACACACTGCCTTGTACGTGGCAGTGGTTGGATCAGGTGCTAGGATAAGCTTTTAACTGTTAACCGGCTTCTGCTCGTGAGCCACCTCTGGCTGAGTTTCCACGTGCTGGGAATCTGAAGCTGGAGACCGAAGGTGACTAATGTTTCTCTCTTCTGCTTCTTGTTCCTCCCACCCCTAGCACTGATGCAGGCGATAGCCCTGTGGGCACAACAGCCACTACGAACCTGGAGCAGCCGCAGGTCATTCCATCGCAGGGTGACCTTCTGGGTGACCTTCTCAACCTGGACCTAGGACCCCCAGTGAATGTTCCCCAAGTGTCCTCCATGCAGATGGGTGCTGTGGACCTCCTGGGAGGAGGGCTGGACAGCTTGGTAAGCAGCATCCTCTTTAGCTTCAGCTGATGTGAAATAATTGGAGCTGTGCTTATCTCTGCAAAGCCTTGATCATTTGTGCTTGTAATGCTTGGATCATTGAGCTCCCAGTGCTGAGTCCTAAAACTCCAAGAGGATTTAGCCAGTGCTATTGTACCAACTTTCAGCAGGTTTTTCCTGCTATAAAATGAATGTTGCTGCATGCTGTAGAATCCCCATGGTCAGCGGATATATTTGTTCCATGCTTTTTCTGTCTGTAGATGAAAACCAAAAAGTTGTTTTAAGGATGTAAAGTGTTCCACTGCTTTGTAATTGATTCAGGCTCCCTTTCAAGAAGGCGTTTGTTCCACCGGGTTCCCAACCCTACTGAGTTTCAGTGCAAAACTCTCAGGGCTGCAGGCTGTAGCCCCGTGTCATGCCATTTGTATATTCTCCAGAGTATGTCATGGTTTAATATCAGTGACATTTTAATTGCAGTTAGGTCAAGAGGGAAACGCTCTGCGTAGTCCTGCCTGTGCCGCGGCTGCTCACGAGGAGGTATTATAGTACTAACAGGATCAGGCTCCAGAGTGTGAGTGATCACACATTGCTTCTGCTCTGGAGTGTGAGCTGGGCATGAGCTGCAATGAGAGAATCACTTAGCAAGGAGACCATGGCAGTGGAGAGGAGCTCATTGCTGTGGTCTATGCTGGTGGCAGTCAGGCATTGAGAAGTCGAGAAGTGGTGAACTTAATCATCAGCCTGGGAGTTGTTCCCATGGGGTGGAGCACAGCACACAGATCCCTAACACCCTGGTGACTTGCCTACAAGGGTAAGAAGCAGTCTAGGTATATTTGTAGCATGTAACCTGAGTAAGACTACCCCAGTGAACATAGCTGGGTATCTTTCAGACCTACAGTGGATTTGTCTTGCATTGGTTTGAGGTTTGGCTTGTAGTGAGCTGGGTTAGGTTGTCTGTGTGCCTGGTTTAGGTGCAGTTTCAGTTCTGAATCAAGCTCTGAATAATAGAGGTAGGAAGCGGCTGGATGAACCCAAATGCAACAAATCCTTATTTGTCAAAGATTTTTTTTTTTAAGCTGCCATAATCTTATTAAAACGGACATTAAACACCTCTCCAGCTCCAGCATTTCATGAGCTAATGAACTGGAAACAACCTGACCCTTAATGGCATTGGCGTTCACGGAGGTCAGATGTGCTTTAACCTCTGTGCCATCTAAACAGCGGTTTGCTTATTTAGCAGGGAGACTGCTTTTACGCTGTGGAGATAGGGGATTAGGGAAATGGGTAAGTTGGAGTTGCTGGGAAAGCAGACAGCCCGGAGCAGTAACCTTTGCAGCCTTTGCCCTGCATTGCAAGATGTGCCACTAAGAAACCGGGATTTTTAATTGTTAAGGCATTGCAGAAAATGGTGCTATCTGTGGCAGCTCAAAAAGGTTAGGAGTTAAATTCCTCTGCCTATACGGTCTTCTAGGCCACTTATAGTAACTCTATGTTTCTCACTAGTATCAGAGACAAATAAATGGACACAGAAGGAGGACTAAAACTTGGTTTTGGGAAAAGAGTTGTCTTGCAGTTGGCATTAATGGGCTTAATTTAGTGATCTGCTTTGGCAGTAGAGCTGTTAGGTGATATGGTACTAGGCTTTTATTTAATATTCTTCTCAAGGCTTGAGTAAATCCATGGAGCTGTGGAGTGTGATTTAACAAAGTGATCATGTCTGGATGGGGGAAGTAGCTGTGCCTCGGGCTGCGTGGGCCAGCACTGTCTCAGCTGAGTTACTAGATGGGGTGAGCACTAAAAAAAAAAAATCTGAATGGTTATGGGTTTTTTTTCCCCAGAATGCTTTCTGTTGAAATGCTGTTGCATCAAATGTCCTGTCTTCTGATTCCTCGCACATATAACTGAATCTTTTCCTGGTAAATCTCTTTCTCTGGCTTTTCCTTCTCTAATAAGCCTAATTAGTGTGTGAGTGAATGTGATCTGTGTCTTAGTTTGTTGTCGTGGGCATTAGCAAGTATCAAGCTGAGTTAACCCTAACCTGGTATTAGCTGAATTGCTAGGCAGTGTCTCTTGGCTGCATGGCTAGCCAAGGGGATTGGCATTTGGATCTTAGGCTAATATTAAGCCACATTTGTGCAGTGCCAAAAACACACTCTCAAATGGCAGGTAGGCACATGCCTGATTTCTTTATGTGGTGAGGGGGTGAGATGCATCCCAAGGTGCCCCCTTGAAAGGCTGAGCTCCTCACGCGTCATCAGGGATCAAAAATGGCTGGAAGCCAGGGATGGCAGTCACTTGGGCTGTTCGTGCAGTCAGTTAATGAGGTTGGAGACTGAAATAAGATCTTCTTCCTCTGTCTTTATCAGTGTTCTGCCTATCAGTGTGTTGGTAGACATTCTGGCTGCTGGCATAGCAATCCCTTCCTCTTCTCCAGATACCTTATACACACACTTCCTTTATGTTATATTGCTGCCGATTCATTCCACTTGGAAGTTTCCCTCTCCGTTACTCCTAGAGTCTTTTTAAATGCATTTCTTCCCTTGCTTTGTTGGGAAGACTGAGGCTCCCATACTCTTGTATGAAGCATGGAGTGGTGTGAGCCATCCCTCTCTCCTCTTCAAACCAGAGAGAGTTTACTTCACTTTGGGCCCTTGTGCTACCAGAAAGTAACCCTGTTTGGTTGTGAATGCTGAGGCAGCTGTCTTCCTCTGTGCTTTGGTCTTTCTTTTCCCATCCCTCTTGTTGTCTTAAGAGTCTAGGAAAGAGTACTGGAACCAAGCATGGTTGGGTTCTCATCTAAGGAAGGATTGAATATGCATTTTCCCAACAGCAGTTTGTCTAGTGTAATTTTTTTTTTTTAATCCTCCCAGTGATGGAGGCTGTACCACCTCTGCTGTTGATCCCTGTTTTCTGCTCACCATTAGCATATCCCTTTTGGATCTCAGGTGACCTGAGAGGAGATAGGGGAACATGAGATATTCAAACGTGGTGTATTCTCTGCACTGTGCCTCTGGCGTTATCTCTCAGCCTGAACAGGGACGTAAGTTGATCTACTGCCAGAGTAGAGCAACCCCAAACCCCACTTCCATTTTCCAAGCAACTGTTTGATATGTAAAAAAGCCTAAATAAGCCTCTCTGTTACAGTGGAGGAAAATGGTTTGGGATGTGCTTGAGTTGGTGCATAAAATCATGATCTGTTGCTGTGATGGTGAGATTGCGTCAGTACTGCGAGTGTCTCAAAGGCAGCTGAAGGTCTGGAAGAGGCTGCCGGCAGGATCTCAGCCAGTTTGTCACATTCACTCAGTGTCATGTGTTGATCCCCTTGGATATTTGTTGCAGCTCTTGTGTATTTGATTATGCCTCCTTTTCTTTGGAGGGGGTGTCTGTCTTCAGAGGGATCCTCTTGCAGTGAAAGTCCCAATGGGACTAACCCAAGAAAGATCAACAGCAGCCTTAACTTCCACAGCAAACATCATTCTGCATTTCCATTTCTTAACCTGTGGGGTTTTTTTTTCTTCCGGGCATTTAAATAGAGACTACATGGTGTAAAACTGGATAAACACCAAATTAATATTGTTAATTTGAATTTTCCTCAGCATTCCTAGATACTTATCCCCATGACCAGTGAGACTCCAGCTACTTGATAGGTTAATTTCTTTACTTCGTAGTGAGTCCTGTAATTGGTATTAAATGTAGCGTGCATATTGTGCTTGCACAGATGCTGAGCATGTGTTAACAATTTAAAAAAAAAAAGGGCCGTTAGTACAAGAACAAGATATGCTTTGCTTATAACCAGAGCAGACTTGCTATATGACTTAGTGAGAGCTGTTCTCTATTGAACAGAGCCGGCACCAAGTCTGCTCCGGGTTCTGCCCGTTTGCCACCCTGGGCAGATCATCTTCTTCTCTGCTTTGCTTGCTTTTCTGTAAAATGGTGACCAAACCCACTGTTAAAAAGCTGTTTGAGATCTCCAGCTCTACACTGTAAAGTAGTGATACCAGTCACTAATGTGGGAGAAGGAAAACTTGCTTGGACAGCAGATTGCTGGATGCAGAGTCCTGCGTGCTGAGAGCTGGAGTTTGGTGCTTTATCCCCTTAAAGCCAGCTCTGGAGTGGCTAAACTTCATGCAGATTATAGGCAATCCTCCAACTCCTGGTTTACTGTCGATGCAGCGCTTTGTAGGATGTCTATCCATGCTGTAATGAGCCAGAGTCATTTTGTCTTTAAACCTTTTGGTGGGTTCATTTGCTCTGAAAACCCGTTGGGCATGAGAGCTCTGTGTTGCCCAGCTCATTGTGCAGCTCACTGTGAGCCCATGCATTTAACGGGAGCAGGGCACTGTGGCCGGGAGCCAAGGAGGCTGGCTTTAAACCCGGGGGCAGAGCAGTAAATCTGTAGGAATGGACAGGCTTGGATTGTCTGTTATGTAAGGATTTTATTTAATACTCTAGCCACTCATCTACAAGAATATTATTGATTCAAGGTTGGCAGCTGGTCAGACTGATTTATGTCCTGAAGTGTAAAGCTGTTTGATAAACACTGGATATCCACAGTTTTCTGTAATACCTGGACTGGTTTGGCCTCTTCCAGGTGGAGCTGTGCCCCTCTACGTAATCAGGTTGGATATGGGGAGGGGGGTCTGACCCCAGAGGTCTCTTCTGCATGGTTCAGGGCTGTGTCCCACCACTGTGCTTGCTCTGAAGTGTGATGGAGGGCTGGGACCTGAGCGCTAGCTCACCCTCTCCTGCAGAGTGTCCTGGGCTCCGAGTCCCTGTAGGCTTGGCAGCCTGGAAAGAAATGCTGGCTCCAGCAGTCCTGAAAGCCTGCTTGATCCAAAAGTCTGGTGAGCAGGGGCTGCTGGTGTCACTCCCTCCCTGTCTGACTGCTTTTCAGTGGAGAGTTCAAAGTCTGGCATGAGTGGACAGCAACTTGGCTTGTTGAGGTTGATTAGGGACTCACCAATGTTTTCTAAAAAAAAACCCAACTTCTAAGTTATTTC